TTTATTCATCCTGCGACACAGGCTCATTAATTATTCGGCCCCAAAAGGCCTATGTGGGGAGAGCCGCTGATGAGAAAGAGAGAGATGGGTTTGATGTTAGACACGCTGTCCCGGGGAGGCCTGTCCCCCTGCAGCTCAGGTGGGCCCGATGGGTGGGAAGAGGCATCAGGGGCTTCCCACCACGCACGTACCTGTGACTGAGTGCATGTGTGTAATTTTGTCACAGTGTGGCCTGGGGCAGGCAGGGTTTGGGGCCCCGGCAGCCTGTGGAGACATGGAGGTGTCAGGTTTGCCCCACGAGTGATGGTGGGGCAAAGAGCAGGGCTGGGGGGGGGCAGGGTCACCTGACCAAGGATAGCACATGTGCTCATGGGCTGGGCCAGGCTGCACCACCTGCCCTGGGACCTCGTCCTGAGGGGCTGTGAGGTCCGCCGTGAGGGGTGTGTCCTCTGGGCCACCTTGGGGAAGCATCCTGCTCACGGCCAACTCCAGCCATCTTCCTCACTGCCCCACCTGTGGCAGGTGGTGGTGCAGTGAGCGGCTCTGCTAAGTGGGTCTCACTTGCCATCAGCTCACGAGGCGCCTGCCTGGGCTATTAGGCTGCAGTAACTTAATTGCTTGTTAATTGGATAATTAGTGCTTTGTTTTCCTTTTAAGCCTAAACACTCATAAAAAGTGAATTAGCTGAGTGAACAGGAAGGGGGCTTTCAGGATCCACCATCCGGTTCCTGCATAATTATTTAGGTGCAACTGTGACTTCCTGTGCCCAGGAGGCCCTTGGGGGCCATACTGGGGCCTCAGCCACCATGAGGTAGTTGCCAGTGTGCTGCCCGACCACTGTGCTTTAGTTCCCTCATCTGTAACCCAGTAGGTCTGTGGTGGGTTCTCCTGCCAGCGGGACATAAGGGGGCTCCCATCTCCTGCCCCCACTCCTGCCAGCCACATAGTCCCAGGGCTGCCACCTGGCAGAGCCCACGCCCAGGATGACACTGACCTTTCAATAAGATTTCTCCCTGTCTCTCCCAGGCCCCCCCC